AAAAAAAAAAAAAAAAAAAAAAAAAAACACAAATAAACGAATTTGAAAAAAGGAAGCAAATGTGGTGGCTAGTACTAACTGTCACCTCGATGAGACCTAGAATCTCCCAGAAGAAGGTCTTCTAGGACCGCTGTGAGTGGTGGTGACTGCCGTAGGGAGACCCACCCAGTGCGGATGGCACCAGTTTTCATCAAGTTCCTGCCTTGAAGGGCGGGCTGTACTCCGAGCCTCCAGCGGGAATCAACGCTTGCTCCCTCACGCTGCTTTCATCGTGGTGTCCCATCACAGTCTGAGGTGGCGGCAAGACGGCAAGATTATACTCTTTGCACACAAGATGAATTACGTACGTGAAGATGCAGAGAAAGATCTGAGCCCTTTCCCTAGCAGTTTGGCTTAGAAAAAGACAACTAATAAGGTGCCGAGCATGAATATCCTTTGACTCTTCTCTGGAATGAAGTCCTTGGATGAGAAAGCCTTTAATTTTTTCTAAATTTATATGGGGGTGCACGTGAGTGCAGGTGCCAGTGGAGACCAGAAGAGTATTGGGATATGCTTATCTGGAGATCGGAGGAAAAAGCTAGCCACTATATTAAACATAGAATTCAGGCAATGGTAGCACACGCCTTTAATCCCAGCAGAGGCAGGAGGATCTCAGTGGAAGAGAGCAGAACTGGAGTTAGAGGTGGTTGTGAGCTGTCTGACATTGGTGCTGGCAACTGAACTCCGGTCCTCTGCAAGAGCAGCAGGTGCTCTCAACCACTGAAAGAAAGAGGGGAAATGAAGAAAGAGCAGGAGGATAAACATGTGGGGTGGGAGGACACTCTGCTCAGTATCTAGTCATCACAGGAGGCAGAGCAGGTGGATCTCTGTGAGTTCAAGGCCAGCCTGGTCTACAGTGTGAGTTCCAGGACAACCAGGGCTGTTACACCAAGAAACTCTGTCTTCAAAAAGAAAGGAATGAAGGAAGGAAGGGAGACAGACAGACAGACAGACAGACAGACAGACATGTTAAGTAGCAGAGCATGGTGGTACACACTGTAGTCCCAGCTGCTGCCCGAGGAAGACTGAAGTAAGGATGATCTGTTCACAGAAGTTCCTTCCTAACCAGCCAAGGCAACATAGCAAGATGCCATCTCAGAAAAAGTGTGGGAGGAAGAATGTTTACCTAGCACTTGTGAAAGAAAGTCTAAGCTCTACCTATATCACAGTGGTTTAAAAAAAAAAATGCAGTTTTCTATGTGGAAGAAATGTGGTCATCCAAATTCCTGAAAAATGATGGAGGGTGATTCCAGACACCAACACACATAAAACACGCACACATATGTACACCACACACACACACACACACACACACATACACATGAAAAGGAAAACAGGCATGAGGTAAAAGTATAAATAGATACTTGGCATTTTGCTTTGTTTTCCAGACAGGGGCTCACTATATAGCCAGGGTTGGCTTCAAGCTTTGCCTCAGCCTCTCAAAGCCTGGGGTTGCAAGTACATGCCACACATGTGTCTAAATACATGCTTTACAATGTACAGTATATGTATGAAACATTGAGGGAAAGTATGGCTCAGTGATAGAGAACTGATTTGATTCCCAGCACCACAAGGAAAAAAAAGATAAAAATATGAATAATATATTTTTTTGAAACAGGGTCTCACTGTGTAGCCCTGCTGACCTCAGACTTATAGAGATCTACCCTCCTCTGCCTCCCAAGTACTGGGATTAAAGGTGTGCACCACCACACCCAACACAAAGTAATGCTTTTAAAACACACATATAAGCCAGGCGCCATGGTACATACTTGTAATCTCAGCACTGGAAAAGCAGACGCAGAAGGATCAGGAATCCAAGGCCAGCCTAAGATACATAGGGAGTTCAAAGCTGGCCTGGGTAACCTGAGACCGCACCCTCCACACACACATTCTCTCTCTTTCTCTCTCTCTCTCTCTCTCTCTCTCTCTCTCTCTCTCTCTCTCTCTCTCTCACACACACACACACACACACACACACACACAC